AGGAATGGCAGCCTCACCTTTTGTTCTTAGACATGTTGGAGTCTGTGCTGCCTTGCTGACGGAGAATGTGTGGGGTGTTTTAGGGTACAATGATCATTGAAGATGTGGCTGTGGTCTTCACGCACGAAGAGTGGGATTTGCTGGATCCTGCTCAGAGAAAACTCTACAGAGACGTGATGATGGAAACCTTGAGAAACCTGGCTTCAGTCGGTATGAATGGCATCTTCCTTTTTCTTTTTTTTATTCCTTTAGTGAACAAAAATATTTTACTCATCAACTGTGCTTGCTTATATGGAATGAGCAATGGGAACACCCTGTAAAATAAAAGGCATGGTCCCCTTCTATATAGAGCTCATGTATCCAGGATTCCCGTCATACAAAGCTCTGAGCACTAAATTGAGCTTTCATTTCTCTTGTGAATAAAATAAGCCTTGGGCCTCTTTAAGTTCCATCAGCATAGCATGGACTTCAAGGGACACTTTCATGCACTGAGAGACTTGTCCTGTGGGTGCCTTTGTGAGAGTTTTATTGGGTTTCTGGCAAGTTTGATGTCATGATTTTGATGCAGATAAACTCACATCTCTCAATCATCAGAGCTTCTAGAGAACAGAGTACTATCTTGGTGACAAGGAATCTTTCATTGGTCATCAAGGTCTTCCTTGCGATGTACATTTCTCCATGAGCTCCATGTTGTGAAGTGTCATCACCTTGGTTTCAATGCTGAGGGAACTTGTGTACATTTTCCTAGAGGTGACTGGGGGATTTTTCCTACATCACCGCACTGGGACTCCTGAGCTCCTTGGTAGCTCTACCCATTTGTTTTCTCAGAGAAGCTAAGGAAAAATCTGAGGAGACTGGAAATCACAGTCACTGAGGCCCATGTGTCAGGAAGCCCAAGGAAATGTAATTTTAGCCCACGAATGAAGGAAATCAATTAGCTTCTAAAAGTTTCTTTTGGCTTGCAGACAAAACTTCCCAGATACCTGAACTTACTCTGTTGATTTTAGTTGTCCTTTAGCACCTGTGGACACGGAGACCCCTTCCCTTTGTAACGTTACATGTGTGGTATGTCTAATTCCTTTCTACTTAGCTCTCCTAATGATACCTGTGTATGTTACTGTCCCTCTCCATTCTGATAGAAGTATTTCCTAGTAAATTGGATTTTAACACTTGTCAAAGTGCTGGAATAGCAAAATGGGGCTGAGTCTTTTTTACTAGGAACCTCTGTTTCCTCTAATCATTCCCATTTAGTTCTAATTATGGACTTTAACCTGAATGATTGGATCAATGACTGGAAACATTAATGATGGAGAAAAGTTTCCCAGTGAGCATTTAATTATGCAATATCTGAAATATAACAGGCCCTATGAATGTACGGAGTGTGGTTATTATGCATCGCAGGTGCAATCAAGAAATCACATGGCTGGAAGGATCACCTTGACAACCAAGGGAAACATTTGAGGTGAGTGTGAAACAACAGAAGTTAGTGCTTCACAAAATCTCAGGAGGTGTCATAACATCAAAATACACTGAAATGAGGGGGCTCCAAATAGTTCATGGAGAACTCCATCGTCTTTCAATTGCATCATTCTGTGAACAATTATGATTGAGGAATTGCTGGACAAACGAAGGTTGCATATGCATTTCCCAACAGTTAAATCTCTTTCCTTTTAAATTGTGAGTCAATTAAGAAACCGTCAGTAGTGTGCCATTCAGATATGGCGTCAGGCTGCGCAGTTTTAAATGTTTGTTGATCTCCAGAGTCCTACAACATACCCGGTCTGTGATGTAAGAATCTTGGTATCCATGCAGGTGTTTGGATTGTTGCAGGAGTGTGTAGAGCGATACCATTCATATTGGTGGTTTGCTCACCATCCTTGAATGCAGTACCAGTGATTGTTTCTTCATCAAATGAAATTCTAGTAAGCAACAGTTTTGATTGCTATACAATCTGGACACTTTTCCTCATTTATGTTGGAAATGGCTGAGTCGTTCCAAAGTGATTTGAATCCCTGAAGCCTACTGATGTGTATGTGTTGTGTTTGCCGAGTCAGTTCTGACTTTTAGCAACCCTTTGTTGACTCTCCAAGGAGTACGTGTTGTTCCGTGCCATGAAGTCGTTCCACTTTGTAGGTCCAATCTAGCTTGCTGCCTAGTGTTAATCCTTCATCAGGACCCATGTGTATATGTATATGTGTATATTCCTGGTTGTAAAACGATGGGTTCCATGAAAATTCACATAAGAATGTTTTCGTAAGTATTAGTCAGCGAAATATTTAAAGTATATTTCACTTGGACACAATGAGCAGGAAGTCTCACACATTGATGGCAATGGTAGTTGCTGTCCTAGATGAATCTTGAGACAATTCAGGAAAAAGACATGCACGTTCACTGTGTTTGGTAATGCTGTCATGTGACAACATTTGTTTCCAACATGATAACTGACTTTTTTTTCTTGTCTCCTTTTTGAAAATGGAGTAGTTTGCAGAGGACACCATTGGTTTACATTTACACTACCTGTTTTTAACAGAACTGGTGCAATCGAGAACCTATGTGAACATTCTGAATGCAACCAGTGTGGGGAAACCTGCAGCCGGATTCCTGGTCTTTCTGTGCACCAAATAGATCCCACAGAAGTAGATCCTTTTGAATGCTGTGAGTATGGAGAAGCCTTCCTGGATGATTCCCTAGAGAACAATCGGAGTAGAGCTCACACTGGAAGCAGTACCTGTCAGTGTTCGGACTGTGGAGAAGACTGCAGGTGTCCTTCTCACCTGACCACGCCTGTGAGCACTCATGGTGGGAAAAATACTCATAAACATAAGATAAGTGGAGACAGGCCGCATGAATATACGGAGTATGGGAAAGTCTCTGGTGAAGCTTCACTCCTCCCTGAACTTATAGGAACTCACAGTGCACAGAGGCCATTTGAATGTGAAGAGTATGGGAAATCCTTTAGGGATTCCTCACAGCAGGGTCAACATTTACAAACTCACAGTGGAGATAGGCTCTATGAATGTAATCAATGTGAGAAAGCCTTTAGCCGCATCTCAATGCTCACGAGACATAAAGCAGTCCACAATGTAAAGAGGCCTTATGAATGTAAGGATTGTGGGAACACTTTTAGGTGTACCTCAGAACTGACTGCACATAAAAGAATCCACAGCGGAGAGAAGCCTTATGTATGTAAGCAATGTGGGAAAGCCTTCAGACGGTCCTCACACTGCAGTAGACACATGCAAACTCATAGTGGAGAGAGGCCCTATGAATGTAAAGAATGTGGGAAAACCTTTAGAACAACCACACATCTTACAGGACATAGAATAATCCACAATGGAGAGAAACCTAATGAATGTAAGGAGTGTGGGAAAGCGTTTAGAACAACTTCACAACTTAAAATACATAGAGGAATCCACAGTGCGGAGAGGCCCTATGAATGTAAGGAGTGTGGGAAAGGCTTTCTAACACCCTCAAGACTCAGAACACATAGAATAATCCACAGTGGAGAGAAGCCTTATGAATGTAAGGAGTGTGGGAAAGCGTTTAAAACAACTTCCCACCTTACAACACATAGAGGAATCCACAGTGCGGAGAAGCCCTATGAATGTAAGGAGTGTGGGAAAGGCTTTCTAACACCCTCAAGCCTCAGAACACATACAACAATCCACAGTGGAGAGAGGCCCTATGAATGTAAAGAATGTGGAAAAGCCTTTAGAATAACCGCACATCTTACAGCACATAGACTAATCCACAGTGGAGAGAAGCCTTATGAATGTAAGGAGTGTGGGAAAGCCTTTAGCAGAACATCACACCTTAAATCACATAGAATAATCCACATTGCAGAGAGGCCTTATGAATGCAAGCAATGTGGGAAAGCCTTTAAAACAACTGCAACCCTTAGAAGACATAGAAAAACCCACAGTGCAGAGAGGCCCTATGAATGTAAAGAATGTGGAAAAGCCTTTGACACAACCTCACATCTTACAGTACATAGAATAATCCACAGTGGAGAGAGGCCTTATGAATGTAACCACTGTGGGAAAACCTTTAAAAGCACCTCACACCTTAAAATACATAGACTAATCCACAGTGCAGAGAGGCCCTATGAATGTAAGGAGTGTGGAAAAGCCTTTAGAAGTACTGCACACCTTACAAGACATAGAAAAATCCACAGTGCAGAGAGGCCCTATGAATGCAAGCAATGTGGGAAAGCCTTTAGAACACCTGCACACCTTAGAAGACATAGAAGAATCCACAGTGGAGAGAGACCCTATGAATGTAAGGAGTGTGGGAAAGCCTTTTTTCAGTCCTCAAGTCTCATACAACATAGAAGAATCCACAGTGGAGAGAAGCCTTATGAGTGGCAAGAATGTGGAAAAACCTTTACATGTTCCTCTTCCCTCAGTATACATACGCGAATTCATAGTGGAGAGAGAACTTAAGAATGTAAGCAGTGTGGGAAAGCCATTACAAGAGCCTCAGCCCTTACAGTACATAGAAGAATCCACAGTGGAGAGACCCTATGAGTGTAAGGAATCAGGGGAAAGGTTTACCCATTTCTCAAGTTTCAGATCACATAGAAATATCCACAGTGGAGAAAGACCCTATGAAAGTAAGGAATGCGATGGTGGTGGTGGTGGTTATGTGCTGTGGAGTCGGGTCCGACTTATAGGGATCCTGTACAGGGTTTCCGAGGCTGGAAATCTTTATGGGAGCAGAAAGCCTCATCATGTGGGGAAATGTTAAATCATCACTTAACCCTCCTTTCACATAAAGAGTACACAGTGGAGGGAAATCATATGAATGTAAGGAGTGTGGGAAAGCCTTCAGATTTGCCTCACAATACAGTTCACACAAGTGATTCCATAATGTAGAGAGGCCCTATAAATGTCAGGAGTGTGAGAAACCATTTATTCAGCCCTCACACAGTTCTACTCTGACATAAAAAAAGGCATGATCGTGTGACCTAGTTATGAAAAAATCCACCACAGAGAATCCGGTGAGCACAGTTCTACTCTGACACACACGGGGCACCATGAGTGGGATGTACTTAAGAGAAATCATCCACTGAAAACCCTGTGGGGCACCATGAGTGGGATCTACTAATGAGAAACCATCCACTGAGAACCCTGTGGAGCACAGTTCTACTCTGACACACACGGGGCACCATGAGTGGGAATCTACTTATGAGAAACCATCCACTGAGAACCAATGAGGCATAATCATACTATGATACACATGGGGTGCCCATCAATTGAGTTGTCTCTGAGAACTGGTTTTGTATCTTATATACACATAAGTATGCATATCCTCCTGCTTCGTTCTCACTGTACCCCAAGGTCTAATCCCAATCAAGCCCCAAGTTTATGAGTTCCTCTCTGGAGGACCCTCACTCTTTAGCAGTTCTCACAGGAAGCTTGTGAACAGAGAAGTGGGATTCTGCCTCCTTCTTTACATCATCTGCGGACTCAGACTTTTCCAGTCAACCTACAGCAGGTTGATTTCAAAATCTGAAAAGTTGAGGGGCATGCTGGGGCAGGTCTGGGACCTCCAGGAATCCTCTGTCTGGCTCCCCGTTGTGAGCTCACTGCACTTGAGACTTTTCCAGGTGTCTCAGAGCATCAGCCACATTGTCTCTTCATACCATCCATTGCCTTCCCCTGCTAAAACATCCCAGTTTACCAGCTTTCTCAGTGCCTCTCTCAAAGCTGGTGGTGTTCTTAAGTGTCGGTAAGTCTGCTCTGATTCATGGAGACCCCACGTACAAAAGAAGTGAACTCTGTGCGCTCACGGATCATCTGCCTTCTTGAGACCATCGTTTCTTTTGAGCATTTTCCAATCCTAGGTGGTCCGTGTTCCAGCTCTAGATCAGACCCTGTCATGCCGTGATCCATGGAGTTGTTGTTTAATGTACTGATATGGAAATATACATAACAACACCTATGCCTTCTCAACAATGTTTACATTCACAATTCAGGGACATTGAAGATGTTCTTTGACTTGGACAACCATTCTCACCCTGGTTTGCAAGTCAGTCATCCACTGTGAATATAACCTCAGTGTTTCCTGAGCATTCATAGAAACATTTCAGTCTCTCTGTCACTTGGAGGAAACACTAATCAACTTTCATATCCCAGACTCTGTCCTCATGACACAGAGATAGTTGTCTTTAATATGGATGACACCCCAGCATAAAGAAAACCAACATCCTCACAGCTGAACTAGTAAGTAACCTCAGGATAAACAGGGAAAAGATTCAACATGTAAAGTGGCGGAGGCCATGCCATCAAAGAGCGGAGCAGTGGGGAACCCTGAGCATGAAAAGCTCATTGTTTTAGCAATGGGACAATGAGTGTCTCCTCTGGATGGCAAAGCCCCAAGGAAAACCTCATGCAAAGGCCCTGCAGTTCTTGTTTATTCCTTTTATACATGGCTCATTTTTTCTTTTATTTGAAGAGTTCGTTGATAATTTTTTATAATCATTTGATAATTTTTTTATAATATTAAAAATGAAAATTACGTTTAGACACCCTCACACTATGCTTAATCATGTTAGGTTATAATAGTTGCCTTTTACATTAACAATGAGTTTCACCATTAGAAAAAACCACACCAGCTAAAGCTTTGCTAATTCAAGTTTAACATTACAATCAACATCCTGTGTAGTTTTGGTCAGGGACACTAAGACACCTGGAAGGTAGCTAGAAACAAGAGCTATGGGAGCACGTAAGAATATAAGTAGAAATTTAACTAGATGTTTTAGCTAGACAGATTATTAGTATAAGGGAATTGTTACGATTATTCTTAACCACAAAAATTTCAGGTACTTTGATGTTCTTGTTTTTATATTGTTAAATCAATTATAAGTAATTGATATGTACGACAGTTAAAATAAAAATTTTGTTTTGATTACGAATTGTGATTAATGATTCTATAGAAAGTAATAGATGTTGGTAGAGTTAGAAATTAAGATGTAGAACTTTGTTTAAAGGTTAACTTGACATTTTAGGGAGGATTAGAGAGAAACAAAATCACTTACAACAGATGGATGTTATCGAGGCAGTTAGGGGTACAATGATCAGGATATGAAAAGGATCAAGAAAATGTTTTGATGTCCCTATGTTCCTTTTGATGTAATCTGAATGTTCATTAATCAAAAGAAAATGTAATCATAGAATAGATTGTACCTTAAAGTAAGTGATTATTATGAGATCATGGTGTATTGTAACGGTATATAAGGAGTTCAAAAAGTTAAGTAAAAAAAGAGCATCATCTAAGACTCAGAATGACCCATTGTCTCCATATAATTCATTTCACCGACTCCACATCTCCCTTTAAGAACCTCCAGGAGGTTCTGGGCTGGTCCCCCGTCAGTAAAGGAGTTAAAATAAAAATGAAAAGTTAGCTACAAAAGAGAACTAATGAGATTAGGCTGTAATTTCTCAACAGAAACCATGCAGGGAAGAAGTCAATGGAATGATATATTAAAAAACCCTGAAAGAAAACAATTGCCAACGAAAAATCCTATGTCCAGCAAAAACAGTCCACCAAATACGATGGCAGAATTAGGTAACTTTCAGACACACAGAATGCAAAACAAACTGTAAGAACCAGACCAACCTCATAAAATACTAAAAGGAGTTTTTTTGAACAGAAAACCTCTAACAGCAGACAACCTGAAACTAACATCACATAACAATCACCTAGACTTGACCCAGAAGGTGTGGTTGTTGTTGTTGTTGTCAGGTGCCATCAAGTTGGAACTGACTCATAGCGACCCCATGCACAGCAGAACGAAACAATGTTCGATCCTGGGCCAGCCTCACTACCGCTGGCACACTTGAGTCCATCAATGATGCCACCTGGCTGATCCATCTCGTTGGGGGTCTTCCTCTTTTTCTCTGACCCTCCACCCT